GGTTTCCAAATGATGAGAACTCCAACCAGAAGTAGAGCATCAGGCTGGATAGCCTTTGTTACTTTTCATATGTCTTGTTTTGAATGTGCATATGAAAGACCATTCTGATATGTGAATAATAGACACACTGTATTCAAATCTCCATTTACACACCAGCAACTGGTCATCGTGCAGCATATTCAGAAGCACTGCACCTTCACAAACTTTGAATTGTACTTAATTGTAGAAAATGCTCAAAACAAGCTCAAGGAACAGAGAAAGAGAAAAATCAAGTCTCATAAAACTGTCATTACTTTTTTCAATGATGTCTGCTTGCACTCCTTCCAATACTCTGATTCTCTGTGTGCCATTTTCAGGTGTGCTGCTGTGGTCCTACAATGTTGAAGTTTGATATATCACACTGAGAAACAATTCTTTCTTTTTCACTTTTTTCCAAGATTCCCTTGTCTGGCTTTATCACTATATTCACTAAGTTTTGCTAACTTTTTTCTACTTATAGTGAGACAATTGCATCATTTCGCCTCAAACCAAACAACAGCAAAACTTACAATCGGAGTACATATAGTGGGGTCCAAAAGTCTGATACCACTGGAAATAAAACAGAAAGTTTTAGAATTTTGAAAATTCTAAAACAAGAAAATGCAACAGCTTGAATATCGAAAATATCAATATCAAGATGTTGCACAATTTCTAGGTCACAATTTAAATGCAAGTAAATTTGTGATATTGACCATGTTATCTCCTCTGTACAAAAGTTCAGATTTTTCAGAGTCTTATCCCTTCTATTGAAGCATGTGTTCAGACGACACTCCGATGGATTTGATCTAACATGGATCATCAGGTTTTACACAAACTGGTGAAGTCTATATCAGCTCGAGTGCACACTGTCATTGAAGCAAATAGGGGACATAGCAAATACTAAGAAACTCTGAAATTCAGGTAAATATTTCTAAGATTCTACTTTTCACAAGTTGTTGCTAATAATATCATTTGTAATGAAAACCTTTGTGTTAAATCAAAAAAGAATGCCAAACAGAAGCATTGTCACTAGTTCTCTCTGACTTTTGGACCCCACTTTATATAGCAGTGACTGTAAGACTGTTTTTTTTTTCTTTGTCAAACAGGCAGCATTGAGATGCAGTGAGTAGCACTGCTGCCTCACAGGCCCTGGGTTTGATCCTGAGTTCAGGTTACTGTCTGTGTGGAGTTTTGAGTGTTCTCTGGCTGTCTTTGGTCACAATGGCACTAAATGATCCGCAGGTGAGCGCGTCACATTATGCCATTTGCAATTTTTTTCCTGCGATAGTAAAATCAGGCTGAAAATCCTACAATGTAAATCTATAGCTTTACAATAACTATGTATACTAGTTTTGTATATTCACTTATATTAGGTTTTTTTTGACATGCAATTTTGAAACATTATATCAAGCCATTTCATGCTCTTGTTCCAAACAGCCTGTGATGCAACTGATTATTATTTCAATTTTAACACTGACGGGAGAGAAATCCAGAAATCCAGAAATCCAAAAGACTGAGCTGAGCAGTCATGCAGGATATCAGTACTTAGATCACACACAACTGAATAAAGCTTCTTCATGATTTCTTCCACTCAATGGATAACTGTTTCTGAATGATAAACTTGTTTTCTCAGATTTCTTTTCTAACTCTTTTACTAAGAATATCTGCTGTTTCTATCACACACTGCTTCAAATACTTTCCTTCTGAGAATGCCTTGCTTTGTTTAGTAATTTATACACTTGCTGCTAGCTTGCTTTTGTGCTTTATTGACTCTGGGATGATAGACAGATGGAAAAAATAACATTTTTTGCCAAGCTTGTAAAATAGCAACTAGTTAGGAAGATTTATTAAAGCCACATACTAAACCCATTTCTGAAGCTTTTTTTTAAACACGTCTCAAAAACAGATCCACTTCCATTTTAATCTGCATTTCGATCTGCACCAACTCCATGTGTACAGTGCCTTGCATACAGTAAGTATTCACCCCCCTTGAACTTTTCCACAATCTGTACTGGAATTGAAATTGACTTGATTGGGATTTATACCATTTGATTTACAATATGTTTAACACTTGAAAGTGCAAAATATTTTTCATTGTGACACAAAAGGCTAATAATAAAAAAAAAATAAATAACAGACATTTGTTGGTTGCATTAGTATTTACTCCCTTGGGTCAATACTTGGTAGAACCAAGTCTTCAGGGATATGTCTTTGTCATCTTCTCACATGTGGATCCTGATATATTTGTCCATTCTTCTTTACAAAATTGCTCAAGCTCTGTCACAGCTTGGTGAACAGCAATTTTAAAGTCTTGCCGCAGATTCTCAATCAGATTGATGTCTGGGCTTTGACTGGGCCGTTCATTTTACTTTCTGCTTGAACCACTCTAGTACGCTTAGAGTCATTTTCCTGTTGGAAGGTGAACCTCCACCCCAGTCTCAAGTCTTTTGCAGGTTTTCTTCTATGATTGCCTTGTATTTTCCTCCATCAATCTTGCCTTCAACCCTGACCAGGTTCCCATTCACATGCTACCACTACCATGCTTCATTGTTGGGCTGGTTTTGGGTTTCCATCAAATGTGGCATTGTGTCAAGGCCAAAAATTTCATTTTGGTCTGATCCGAACAGAGAACTATTTTCCACGTTTAGCGAGTCTACATATGGGATTTCAGATGTTTTTTTGTCTTTCTTCTCGCATGTGAACTTTCATCTCTCCAGCTCCTTCAAATATTTTATGGGAGGTGCAAATTATGGGAGAGCAAATGCATTATGGGAGGTGATCACTTATCAGGATAAAAGGAAATAAATACTGATATATAACAATGCAGGGATGCTTACCATATTTGGCAATACACATTTGTAGTGCATTGCTGATTTAGGCTAACAATTATTTCATTACATTTTATTAATAAAACAATGCAAAGTAATGTTAGTTTTAAAATTAGAATGTAGAGGAGTTCATGAAACAATTTCAGCCATACTTAGCAAAGAAACTGAAATCACTGGTCAAAATAGGAGCCAAAATCGTCATCTTTTATTATTGAGCTGAGTGAAATGATCTGCCTCACTGAAAAGAGCCAGAATTCCCACCACTAACACACACATACCTGTTAAGTATTTTATAAATTGGCAAATGAGTGTACACACTGATGTAAAACAGCAAGATTGAGCCTTTGGTGGAATGTACTGCCTTAATATCAGTCAGATTTTTATTGATTTTTATGGTCATAAATTAGGTTGACACTTAAGACAGTTGGGAGTGGATTAAGCTCAACAAACAGAATCAGCCTAGTACTGGCCGTGACTTTTATTACTGCTGGGTTGAATACAGTAACTTTACAGTAGTTATGCATTTTGCACCGGCGCTGATCTGGGTCAGTGTTTGTGGGCCGAGATTCCAGCCAAAGCTGTTGCAGTCATGCTGAAAGTTTTTTTGTTTTGTTTTTTTTATCTGAGGATTTTTGTTTTGTTAATTTAAGGAACAGATATAGATATGGCATTAGGACATATTAGGCATATAGGCATTCTCTCCTTGTCTTTGCTGTGGCTAAGCTACAAGTTTACATTCCCATTGCCAAAAGCACACTTTAAAAGCACGTTCACAGATACGTTATTATTGTTTTATATTTAAAATATCCAAAGTAAATGAAGACCTCTGCCTCCTACTCCTACTGCTTCCGAGCTTGTGACTCAACTCACCAATTAAAAATAAGTAGAAAAATTATTAAAGCTGTTGAACTGAAAAGTGTATTAAATAGACAGATCATTTAGTAAACATATTCTTCATAATTAATGACATTAAGTAAAATATTTTACTTCTAACATTAGCAGGTATTGAACTAATCTTTAACTAATTGGTATGGCAAGCTAGCTAGCTTTACAAAGTAAATCATATGTAAGGAACAAGCTAGCTACAGTCACTTCAAACCAATTTACATATTATCTCAAATGTAGTGGATCATCAACAACATGTTTAGTGTCTGAAGTTTTCTTTGGTTTTGGATGCTAATCTAGCTAACGAAAGAAACTGTGTGTCTAAATCATCAGACATTTTCCTCAAAAGACATCCTTTGGTTCAGTAACATCCTTTGTACATAAACAGATTTATAAAATAGCTAATTAAGTATTTATTACATCATACTTTACTTCAAAGATACAGTATAATTACAGTTCTCCCCTCAGACTTTAGGCTACGCCTCCTAGCTGAGTCTAAACACCAAAGAGTATGCTAACTGACTGCTTTTAGCTCTGTGAAGTTGTTCATTTTTATAGACAACTTTGTGTCACGCTGTGTCAGAAACCACATAAACAAGTCTAAAAATTACAGAAAAAAAGATTTGAATAGAGTGTTGGATGATTTAGTACGCTAAACTAGAGCTAAACTAAGCTTCCCTTATCTGTTAGCCACATTACCTTGTAGCTCCAGATAAAAACAAAGACTGTCTTCGTTGATCAAATACATTTGGAGTAAGTGAGAAATGGTCAAAATGTCATTTTTAGGGACCACCTTATTTTAGGATAAGGCTATAGAGGCTATGATTTCTTGCACACTTTCATACTTTATTTAACTAAACCTTCTGTTGTTTGAGCATTTTGTAACACAATTTAGTGATTTTGACACAATCACTAAATTTCAGTTTAAAATTACAATAAAAAGAAATGTTTCAAAATTTCAAGCCTCATTACTTATCTCTCCTACATCAGCTAATAAACATGCAAGTGTTTATAACCTAAACCCGTAGTATGTTGAAATGAGTATCCCACTGGTATCCGGATGGTCTGTGTGGAAGTGTGGATCCGTGGATACTTTTTCAGCTAATATTGCCCACAATTCTTTGCGCGATGGAAAAGGAGTTTTGTGACGGTTTACTTCACCAAACTCAACCTGCAAACATGGCGGCCAAGTGTAACATTGTTTATGCGTCTTCAGTATGTAAGTGTAAGGACTTAAATAGTATAAATTATATAAGGAATAATGAGGGGTCCCTGGAGGACTAGTGGTTAGGCCTCGGTGCTTTCACCACCCTGGTCCGGGTTCAATTCCAGGCCAGAGAACCAACCCCAGCCACTGGGATTGCACACAACACTGCACTCCCAGTGCTGGTCCCAAGCCCAGGTAAAATTGGGGAGGGTTGCATCAGGAAGGGCATCCTGTGTAAAAACTGTGCCAAATCAAATATGCGGACCAATGATCCACTGTGGCAACCCCTTACACACTCTTTTGTTACACACTCAAAAGTGTGTACTTTTTCTTCACAAAAACAATGCATACTTTTAGTGCATAGTATAAGTAGGCAAATTGGGACGCAGTATATGGCACATTTTGTTTAGAAATCTAAAAGCTGTGAAGTGTTTCAAAAGTGTTACAGTTAAGCATTTAATAATCTAGAATTGAGAGGCTGATTTATTGACTGTGACTCAATAATTTGTTCTTAGACTTTTGTAAATATGTTTACCAGTGACTAATCAGTCTGCTATTGACTCTCAGTGAAATGAAGCGCACCAGAGATTAACACCCTCATTATTACCTTATGTTTATTTAGGAATTAAGTACTTTAAGGTGAGGTTCTTTTCAATTAATGCTTTACACAAGACACTGTTAAGAAGCTTCTCTGCCTATAAATAGGAAACCTGTCAGTGACTGAATGCTGACTCCTCCTTTTCTAGGGCAACATGATGCAGTCTGTCTTCTCTCCTGTCTCCTGTTTTCTTGTTCTTCAGAGGAAGGAGTGCTAAACCACTCCTCACCGAATGACAGCTTTCAGTGATGGGAACATCTGCGAATCCAAAACTCTAATATTATGTCTTCTGGAGCAGATCAAATCTGTGCCTTGTGAGGCATGAAGTTCCTGACCACTGTCACTTCCTCTGACAGTTCAGCGAAAATGTTTCATGTAGGAAACCGGACTGCACGTCTGCATGCCTGCGAGTCAGGCAGAATTTGAATCTGAAAAATGCTGATCAAGCTCCACTGCCATTCCAAGCAGGTTAGTTTTGAGATGCTCTGAGCAGTGCTTGGCCCCCGAGTCATTACCAGAACAAAGTCTCACATCCTTTTCTTCTGCCTTTGTTAAAGCGCTGGCTCAGGGGCAACTGGATGCACAGCACAGGAACATTGCTTTTTCCTGATCTGTAACCAGTGCATCAGTGTATTTCTCTTTCATGCCATCACACACAGCTCATTTGTAAATCACTGCTTTAACCAGGTATACAGCCTGCTGTTAGAAGTATTTATGAAGTCCAGAGTCAGAGAGTGGAGGGAAGCTTATACACTGAGTGTTCTTACATGCACAACAACAATCCAATCATTACCCACAGGGTTGTTTTTGAACCTTTAGAGGTCCTATGCAGCATCCTATTTGTGCCCCATCCCCTCTTGAGTTGCAAACCACAAGGGGGGTCATTGTGCAAGCAATGCACATTGTGCAAGCCTGAACTATGGTAATAACCATGGGGATCCATCAATAACAATTTTATCTAGCTTGCTAGCTTGCTAGATAGATAGATAGATAGATAGATACATAGATAGATAGAGCTAACTATCAAATCTCTTAGCATGCAAGCTATTAGCTAGCGACTGAATATGGCAAATTAGCACAAATATGACATTCTCTTTTTTTCTAGTGCTCTAACAATGCAATTTCTTTAACTTTTCTCAGCTAGTTAGCTACCTAGCTAGCTAGCTAGATGTACAGTGCTAACTAACTAATTTCTAATGCCTATTAGCAAGCAAGATATTAGCTAGCTACTGAATAAGGTAAATTAGGACAAATTCTATGTGTTCTTCTCTTTTTCTAGCACCACTATGTACAGTTTCTATATGCAGTTTCTTTGTATTTTCTGAATAATAAGCTTGATCAAAGATAAGCATTTGTGACAAACTCTTCACATCACAGAATCATTCTGTTTTCCTCAGCCCTCTCCCTGGTTATCGTTCTCATCCCTGTCCATTTGGTTTTAGTGCCTTGTTGTCTGAGCCTGTATGTGTTACTGCCAATAGCGTGGGTTTTATTTCAGCTTTGCTCCTGACACCCAACCCATAATACTGACCACCGTGCCAAATAATTAATACTTTACATCTGAGAGCATGAACACAAGGCTGCTTGAAAAGCTCAACAGTGTAGAATAAAAAATTTTTTAAAACTTGAAAACAACAAAGACATGATGTTTAAACCTCTCTAAGGCTGCTTTCACCATATATGTTTTTATTTAATGTGCTAAGCTTTTTATGCTGATATGAAAAAAAATCAGTGCCTCCCACTGTAACCATAACAAAGCTCAGTCCTAGGTACTAATTAGCCTAGCTTGCTCTCTGGATTAGATTTATTATTCTCAGTAATAAAAATGAAATCTTGTGATGAGGACGTTGTTTGCCTTCGCTATAGCTTTGGAAGTTGAGCTGCTCGTGCAACTTGACTGTATGCGGCAACGGTTAAATTGAGACATTTTAAATCTTCTTATACTTGCTCACTAATAAGTTTCTCGCTTGCTACTTGATTGCTTGGGAGATGTAAAAAAAAAAAAAAAAAACTCTTGAAGTCACTCTTTTTTTCCAACTTTGTGACCAAAAAAATGTCAGCATTTTTTTTTTTTTTTTTTTTTTATTAAATAAAAGTGGCCACTTCCTATGTAAAATGTACGTGGCAGATGGGGGGTAAATACTAAGTGTAAAACCAGGAAAACGTGCTTACTCAAGATGAATTCATAAATAAATAAATTTTAAAAATTTCCAAAAAAAAAAAAGTCAAGTTTACTAGCCAGCTAGGATTGAAGGATATGGAGGTGTTTTCAAATTGTATATTCATATATATTCACAGATTCTGATATTTTTTAATGATAGTATAGGTGTAAAAATATTTGTAGGACATTTTTACTAATTTCTGGGCCATTACAAAAGTTTATTTTAATTGCTCACAGTTATGTTTAGCCTATTTTTTATCATCCAAAGCAATAAAAACTGCAAAAAAAAAAAAAAAAGTGAAAACTTTGTGTATGCTTGATTCAGGGGGTCAATACACTACACTCCGAATCTATATCTACTCCTCATTACTAGTTCCTAGTCGTATTTTTCTATTTTTTTTTTATTTTGACCTCAGCCTGCCAGTTTTAAATAATTGACGATGGACTTACTAGTCACAAGCATAACCCCTATTAAACAGACTCTGCCTCAAGCACACACTTGTTAGAGTCACTATATAGATAACTGTGAGTAAGTTCAGCAGGATTTATTCGCAATAGGGTCTCTTTATTAAGACTTATCCAAAAATCATAATTAGAGCCCATGGCCAGGGTCAGAAGGCTTCTGAATTCTTGTTAATACTATCGCCTCCTAAAAAAAAAAAAAAAAACACACACTGTTCATATACAAAGTTAATTTAAAAAGACAAGGCTGGCATGCTTATGAGAGGTACAGATAAAGAACTGTATTCGGCAACTTGAGTCCAAAACTTACATCAATATTTACATGGGGAAAGTTCCTTGTATTCAGAGTCGCATTACGCAGATACTTGATTTGATTTTATGGACGTGCCATGGTGTTGGAAAGATGGTAAGCATTAAAATAAATATAAACGTCTAACACATTGTAATATATTGCTACGTTGATAGTTCAAGATGTAATTACATTAGTTGCTTATAATTCACTATTTTGAGTTGTTTAATTGATAAAGCAATGGCCGTGTTTTGTAAATTCAGTGCACTCTCCAGTAAAGGAAACATGGCCACGGTTTGAACCATAGTCTGGCCATGCACTTATCAACTTTGCATATAGCTCACTTTAAGCTAATTCATAACTTTATCCATAAAAAAGTTGAGATAAGCAATGTCTCCGATTAAGATGCCGTAACCTCCGATGTCCTCTGTGAGGAAAAATCTATTAAGTCATTAACAGTTCCATATTTATGTGCATAATGTCAGCCTCAAGTGGCATTTCAATGTTTTTTGAATGTATTTACAGCCCAAAACATACATGTCAGTGAGACATATTGTAGTTACATCAAACTGTCAGACAGTGGACTTAATGCTGCTCCTCGCTCAAGCACGATATCATACGAGAAAAATGTGCTTAAGATCAAGTTCATAATTGTTCATAATTGTGACACATCTCTGTTTACGCAAACTCCGTCCCATGTGCGTAATTCTTTCTTAAATCTCTAAATAGTGCTCAAGTATGCAGTTACATCTGAGGTCTGAATATTGATGTGCGCAATTTTGGTATTAATTCCTCACTATGCATGCTGAACGCAACTCTGAATACGGTCCATAATTTTCATTATAAGCAACAAGTCAAAATTAATACTACACTGATTCAATCAGTCCTACTCTCTCACAGAAAAGAACAGCGCCTGGTAAAGTTCAGGCACATTATGTTTAATGCAATCGATTCAAGTATTACTTTGAAACTCTGATTCAAAGAGAGAATCGGCATATATTTCACAAGAGATCAGAGCGCAGAAATGATTCTTTTAAAAGAACAAAAAAAAACTTTCTAAATTGGATGGGCCTGAAATTGAATTGAACCCAATCATGCTGTGCGAGATTGAATTCAAAGCGTCTCAGGGAGGACCTTTCACACCTGAGCACGGCAAACTCGGCTCTATCAGGAACACTGTGGCCAGCTGAGGTGCTTACAATCCACACGAGGGGTTCCATAGCAACATCATAACTCATATTGCTCTATTTCCTCTCACTGTGTTTATGGCGATACGGAAACTGAATGAGCCTTATAACTCTTTATTTATAGTCGGATACAAAAGTCTGAGTCCACTAGGAAGAAATGTTTATTTCATTGTTTCTCAAAAACTAATCCAAACTGTCACTCAGTGTGTTATTCATTCAGAAAGACATTATTTCAAATCAAGGCTGGGTTTGAGGGCGAATACACAGAGATGCCATTTTCCTTCACTTATTTTCATTTTCTTTCAAAAATGACAAAAGTCATCCCCTCTGTAAAGAAATCTCCCTTTTCTACCTGATATGTATTCATGACTTTATGTGATGTCACTATTATTATGAGAGTTACGCACCATGATGTGGGCAAATTGGGATTTCTTTAT